TAATGTAAGCCAAGTACATAACTTCACATTTTCTAGTAGCTACATTACAAACAGTAAAAAAAACTGGTGAAATTAATTTTAGAGAGAAATTTGATGCATCCCAATATATCAAAAGTATTATAATTTCAACATACAGTGGAAATAAAAATTATTTATGAGATATTTTACATATTTTTTACACTATGTGTTTGAAATTTAGGGTGTATTTTACACTTATAATCATATCTCAATTCAGATGAGATCTGGCATGTTCAGGGTGGTATGGCCATAGACCACATCTCAATTCAGACTAGCCACATTTTAAATGCTCAGTAGCCACATGTGGCTAGTGCCTACTGTACTGGAGAGTATAGCCTTAGAATAAAAGGATTGGAAGGCAAACTATCCACATGTGCCTTATTTTACAGAGGAGGAACATGAGATGCAGAGGGAGGAAGTGACTCGCCCAGGGTTATGCACTTTCAGTGGTTTGAATGGTGGTCCCCCCAAAAGATATGTGCATGTCGTAATTCTTGGAACTTGTGAGTGTTATCTAATTTGGAAGAATGGTCTTTGCAAATGTTACTAACTTAAAGATCTTGAGATGAAGAGATCATCCTAGATTATCTGGGTGAGCTCTAAGTCCAATTGCCAGTGTCCTTATAAGAGATATGCAGGGGAGATTAGACAGACAGAAAAGAAGACAGACACACAGAGAAGGTGATATGGAGACAGAGTTAGATGGCAGTGATGTGGCCACAAGTCAAGGCAGCCAATGAGTGCTGACAACCACCAGAAGCTGGAGTAGGCAAGGAGCGATTCTTTTCTAAAGCCTCCAGAAGGACTGTGGCCCTGCTGACACCTTGATTTAGGGTTTCTGGCCTCCAGAACTATGACAGAATGAATCTCTATTGTTTTTAGCTAGTTCTGTAATTATTTTTTTAGGCAGCCACAGGAAATAAATATAAACAGCAACTATGAAGTCTGGACTGAAGAGACCTTGGACTCCATTCCCAGCCAGAGAAACCTGCCTCTGAAACCTCTCAGGTGGCCAGCATTCATTCCTTGATGAGCAGAGTGGACCAGGTGGGAGCTCTGGTGACCCGGAGGGCCCATGATCATCCCACAGGGGGCTGCTGCCCTTTAGTTCCATGTGGCACTGTGCCATATTGTCTTCATCTCTTGCCTCATCTACTCAAACATCCTCCTCCCTGCTCCCCCTGCATCTATCCTTTCTCCTCTATAATCTATTTTCCACGTTGTAGCCAGGATAATCTTAAAAAAAAAAGTATAAGTCACATTCGGGCAACTCCTCTGCTTCCAGCCTCTAATGGCTTCCATTCACTGGACTGAAATCCAGACACCCCTACATTTACAGTGCCCTGCGGGGCCCTGCTCCCTCCCTGATCTCATCTCATAGCTAGTCTTCCCTCTCCATCCACTCCAGCCACAGAAGTCTCCTTGCTGTTTCTCCAGCATGTGAAGCACACTGCTTCCCAGCCTCTTTGCATTTTCTGTTTTGTCTCTCTGAAACATCTCTCCCCATATAGTCCTGTGGCTCACCCCCTCACTTTATTCAGGCCTTTGCTCAGATGTCCCCCATCATAGAGGTTTTCCCTGACCACTGTCACTCTTCATTCTTTACGATGCTTTATTTTTCTTTACAGAACGAATTTCTGCATCACTAAATATGAATTTGTTAGTTGATTAGATTGTTGTCCACCTCTCATCCCCCATTAGACTATGAACTCCATGAGGGCAGGAACTTTTGTCTGGCTTATTTAACAGAGTCTGGGACAGCTCATAGTAGGTGCTCAATAAGCACTTGTTGAATGAATGAACAAATGAGTGAGTACAGGAATGCAGGCTCCATTTAGCCATATCTTTTTTCCTGGAAAAGTCAGAATTTGGATATATAGATAAAATTCTATGGCTTGTGAACTAAAAAAAAAAAAAAAATTACTGGGCTGGCTAAAAAAATGTGTTCAAGGGCCACCAGTTTGAGACCCCTGACCTACAGGGACTGGGGACCAATAGGAACCATGTTCCCCATCCTCAGATGGTGTAATCCCTCCAGGAACTAGGTGTCTCTTGGTGATCCACCAGCCCTGCAGCCCCAGTCCCTGGCGCCATGAGGTACTGTTTGTTGTTACAGACCAAAGTCATCCAGGGCACTCCGTTCAAAAGGCAGGATGTGGGCTGTGAGCTTCCAGCTCATCTGTTCAAAGGAAAAGTACTTCAGCAGCAATGTCTCCTGGGATGTTTTCCGAAGCCTCCCTGGGAGGTGATGGGGCCTCTTGAAGGACTAATAATAGACAGGCACATCCAGTTTCCTAAACATGTCAACCTTAAAAGTGAATGCTATTTTTTCCGTGTTACCTTTGAATTACTATGCAGGGGAGGGACAATTCTATTATTATAGCCACCACTCTTCACATGCTGCCAATAACGACTTACCACTCGGCAGCTTCTAGGCAAAATTGTCATAGTGGGGCCTGAGCCCCTTCAACTCTATTGTGCCCTCCTTCATCCCCCACTTCTCAGGCTCACCACTTCGTCACCTGTATGCTTTGTAGTTAGGCCTGCCAAACCACCCTTTGGCAGCGGTGTGACTGTGGGTGTGTGTCTTAATCACTGTGTGGCACCAGCCTTATCCATAATGAAAGTTACTGGATCTACATAGGATTGCTGGAGGATGAAATAAAACAGCACAAGTACCAGGCACCCATCCAGCACTTGATTTTTTTGTGTGTGACCGGTAAGGGGACCGCAACCCTTGGCTTGGTGTCGCCCACACCGCACTCAGCCAGTGAGCGCACCGGCCATTCCTATATTGAATCCGAACCCGCGGTGGCAGCGCCGCTGCGCTCCCAGCGCTGCACTCTCCCGAGTGCGCCATGGGTTCGGCCCAGCACTTGATTTTTTACCATTATTGAACACCTACTGGGCATGGGTGGGGGGAAGAGGATGCCGTCTGTAAATCTTTATTCCTTCACTCGTTCTCCCACTCACTCACTCATTCAACCAATATTTATTGGGATCTTAGGAGGCGTCAGGCACTAACGTCAGGCGCCAGTGACAGGATGGTGAGCAGCCCCCTGCTCTCACGAGTCAGATCTAGGGAAGGAGGGGTGTGGTGGTGGGGGAGGGTGTTTAGGTGCAGTTCATGGACAGGCACTAAATAACACTCAATTACAGTTAGACACTTATTATCTTTATAGTTACGCTTCCATCTTTCAGATCCCATCCAGGCTAGAGCCCCAGTTGGATATTCATGTGTCTCTACACCTCTCTGACAATTGTGAATCTCCTCTCTTAACAAAGGAAGGCCTCAGTTGCAGACACTTTGGGCAGATGACAGCACCTGGAGAGTGTTTAACAACGTAAATACCTCTTTCTATTCAAACTCAGATGGATCAAACCAGATGGAATTTTTCCTAATGGTGCAGAAATATGAACAGAATTTGTGAAAACGAGTCAGAAATGAATGAAATTGGGGGAAGTACTGATCTATTAACACCCCCCTTTTCCCATTAGCATGAGTCTCTTTGTGGAGGGGATGGACAAAAAACTAGGAGTTCTCTTCAAAACGTTCAGGCAAGCAAAGCCAAGAATCTTCGTGGTGGAGTTAGACACACATAAAATAAAGATTGCTCCTCCCCTACCGCTGCAGAACGTGTGTGCCTATGCATGTGTAAGTGTGCGGAGCCACAGGCCTTCCCGAATGAGTGACAGCGGGAGCCCATCCCTCCAGCAGACGCGTGCAGAATGACCAATGGGATGGAAGGGGTGGATGGGTACCAGGCTGTCTGCAGAGGCCGGGGTGGAAGCCCTGCACCCACCCCTCCCACCTCCACCCCCTAACCCTCGTAGGTCCTTCCGCTCGCGGTACTCCCGGGGGGCGCCAAGTTGTCATCTTCTGAACGCCAGCCGGGCCGAGGACGGGTAGGGGGCGAGGCTCAGTTCTGCAGAACGCGGGCTGCGCTCCCCGCGCCGCAGCGCTGCGGCTGAGAAC